GAAATTTTACTATTTTAATATTAAAAAGCTTTAATATAAATAATTTTGTTATGACCGAGTTTCATCGTTTTAAAACATATTATCTTTTTGTAATAATTTTTCTAGAGTTCTTTGGCTTCTCATCTTCTATTTGTATGATTGAAGCACAAAATTGTATGATTGATCTTTAGCTTTTCCATTTTGGAACCGGTCAGTTTCTTCGTTTGAGTAAGTTGAGTTTCAACCATTTTTCCTTTGTCTTTCCTTCTATAAGTTGTATGTGGGCCCCACTCAGCTTGCATGTGTCTTTTGAGTCATCAGTTTGAGTCTTTGTTGATCAGTGTATCAATTGTATGTCCTTATCTTGTTTATGTTGTTTGTAGGAGCAGATAAAAGTTCTTATGATTTTAGAGCTTTTTCTAGACTTTCTAGAGCATTTTGGTAATATGTTGGGTAAGGAAAACTTACTACCACTTTTAAAGTTGTTGATGCTTTGATGGATTGTGTTGCATGTTTGATTTGGTCTGAAATAGGTAGTTTGATTAGTAGTTTGGCATGTAGAGTTTATGTTGTGTTTGTTGTTGTATATTGCTTGTTTTTTGTTAAAATTTTTGTTGAATTGAGAAATTAAGGATCATATGAGAAAATTGATATTCATTTTGACATATAAACCTATTTTTGAACCAAGCATTGAGTCAGGAATATCAATTGGATCCTCTAAAAATCATGGAGTTTGAAGTTGCTAATTTCTAATATGGCGTTGAGTGACACTGGTGTGGCATTGAGTGACACTGGTGTGGCATTGAGTGCAAGCATTCGAGATGTTGTTAAGCGAATTTCAAGTATGTGATGTGGTAAATTTAGTGTATGCATTGATATATAGGGTTAGAAAGAAGATATCTTAAACTCTAATAACTATTTACACTCAAATAAAGTATAATGAGTTATGTGGAGGTCCTAATATATGGACACTGGTTTGGTCTTAGGTGCGAAGGGGACTAACCTTGTAGGTAGAGTAGGGTGAAAACCTTTTTGTTTATGACTCTGCAAATTATAAATACCAATACAGGTATACGCCTATATTGAAACCCTATGTCAAAGGCATGTATTCGAATAATCGAGTTAGTGTCAAATGTTGTATGAATGTATGAATATGTGGTATGTTTGGATTGTGTGATTGATAAATGATATATTATAAATATTTAGATTAAATCATTTTGCATATTAGTTTAACATTTCTTCTTTGTTTGTTGTTTTGTTCTTCAAAATGATCATCTTAATAGTTTGAGCAGATAAAGATATTACGGTTGATCCGGTGTAGGATGAGGAGAAGCAGCAAGATAGTTAGGATTTTATTTTGTCATGTAAATCTTTTATCTTTTAATAAAAATTTCTAGCATATCACTTTTTATACTCAAGCTTTGTGGATAAAGATAATATATGAGTGATATATTTGTCTCATCTGTTTGTTGATTATCACTTATGTATCCTCTATTTAATAGTTTTTAGCAATTAAAATGGGATGTTATGCATTTTCTATTAATAACTATTAATAAGTTTTATATGAATGTTTTAAAAAATAAAAAATGATTAAGAAGAAATATTAATTATTAAATAATTATTTAGAATTTTGAATTTTATATATTAATATTTTTTATTTGTACTTATGAATTTGAAATTATATTTAAAAAATGTGTTTTAAAAATTTATACTATACAGTGCAACTTATTTAAATTTTTTTCTAGGAAAACTAAAATTATTTACATTAATATTTTTTATGTAATTTTATTTAAATTATATTTAAAATTATTTTTTCATCTGAATTTATGTTTTAAAAATTATTTTTTAAACAATTCTTTTATAACTAATATCTCATTCACCAATAATTTTCATCTTGTTCACTTAATTTAGAAAAAAAAAATACTAAAATAGAGTTTACTAATAATTATTATTAAATAAATGGTATATGTGAATTAGATACCATAGTACTCATTCCTGTTTATTAACAGATAAATAATTAAATATTTCTTTTATCACTTATGATATTTATTAAATATATTAGTTATGATATTTATTAAATATATGTATTTAATATTCGTCATAAATTTTGTCTGATATCAGGTATTTTTTTCTCTCATCCTAATACTTTTATATATGTATATTCTAACTTATTATTGAACTAGAATACACTATAAACAGATTCAAAATTCGATTTCCAGAAAATAAAATCTTGAAGTGACACAATAAAACTTGGTATTTGTATAAACAGAAGCTCCAATATATTATTTGAAGGAAAAAAATGGAACAGTATACTATTTATGTGAAAAATTCTTGATCCTTAAAGAAGGACTTATTGGTTATATATTGTTTTATTCACTGAACTTTAATTCTTTCTTTATTCTACAAAAGTGTTTTTGACAAAAATGAAACCTAATTTGATCATTGCTTGGATCCTAATGATGAGTTCAATTTTCTATAATGACTCACCACAACACAATTTTATGCATTTTGTAATGTTTAACAATTATTTTTCCTTCATACCACTCAATCACTTGGAAAATGACATCAACGGATCATTTGCATAACCTTTTCTGCTTTACTTTCGTGGTGGACACTAATTATTAATTCTTCTTAATACAACTTAATTTTTCCCATCGTTCATTATTTTCTTAATATTATTTAAATTAACATGTGTTTTAAATTTCAATTAATTCTGATAGTATTATTTTAAGAAGTAAACTTTATGATTAATTCAATTTCATAAAATCTATTGTGAAATTTGTACTTACTTATATAATATAAATTGATATAATCTACTTGTAAAATGAAGTTTGTACTCACTTATATATTATAAATTGATATTATTGGTAGTCGATTTAGAATTTCAATAATATTTGAAGTGGAATGAATTATATATATAAAATTTTCAAAAATTCATTTATTTGAGAATTTTAACTAAAAGTCATTGTACTTATGTATTAGAGTTGGCTTTTGAATATTTAGTTTTATCATATATCTCTAATAATTGATGAAGTTAGTTGGAAGACAACTAAAAATTGAACCAATCGCAGACGGAATGGAACTAAATGCACTTAAAGTAAATGATAATAAAAGAAAAACAATAATCACAGGCCATTGAATCAAGAGCCAAATACTTCAGCATTTTCAATGCTACGTGTGTGCAAATTGCTTTACTTTAAGGGTAAGCACCAAAAGTAATATTAAAAAATTAAATTCAATGGTTGTAGACGTATTTAATCATACTATGATATATTTTTATATTTATTTAAAACATAATACAAAGATAAAATAGTTATAAAAAAATAAACTTTTATATTTTTTAAGAAAGAAGAAAAAAAAAAGTAAGAAAGTATAGTATTAAATAAATATAAAAAATTTAAGTATGTTAAAAAACCATTTTACTCTCCTTAAACAAAAACCGGTACTACAAATAAATATTTCAAATATGGTTGAAAATAATGAATTTTTCAATAACAAATGCTAAATTATATACCTTCTTTCCTTAATAATTTTGATGCCATATGAAAATATAAACTAATAATATTTGAGATACATATATTAAATTACAAGTTTTTTTTTCAAACCACTAATAATAACAAAAATATTCGTATCTATGCGTATTCACAACAAAAACATTTATGTTATTTATATATTTATTTTCGTTTTAAATTATTAAAATATATTTAATTTGTTAATATAAAGAATTATATTAACTTTTTATCTTTAGTTTCATAACTTTTATACGGTATATATTTTATCAATTTTATTCTTTTTTTATAATTATCTTTTCATGCAATTATTATTTGATACTTTTATATTATATTTATATAATTATATTTTTTTTCAATTAAAAAAAGAAATATATTATTTTGACATTAAATGTTTAATAATATCTTATTATTTTTTTTAACTTATGAAAAAAATATTTAATTAATATTTTGAATAATAGAAAAGCGGATACTAACATGATATCTCATGTCTATTTCTCCATGAAAGAGATGATAAAAAAAATTATTTATCAAGTATAAAAATGGAGATATAGGAAGAGCTTTTTACTTAAAATATAAAGATGAAATAATCACACTTAAAAGGATCCTATTCAGATAATCTCTAATCAAACATGCAATAATAAATTATAAAATAATATATTTTTTAAAATATGAAAGTCTAGAACATTGTTAAGGAAAAAGAAACCACAAAATAAGCGACACATATTTTTTATTAAAAATAACAAGAAGAGAATGTCAACCACTGTTTCAAATCAAGATCTTATTACTCACATCACACCAAGATCCTGTCTCTCTTTTTCATTCTTACATCAAACTTTGAAATATTTTCAATGTGAGGTTTATGAACATTATCTTACATTCAAAATAATAAAATTGAGACCGAAGATCTATGACATTAATTAATTATTTTAAATTAGAAAGACAACTCTTATAAGAGAAAACTGCAATAACTATAAACAAAGTTTAAGAGCTTATATAATAAAATATTCTCTAGTTAACTGTTTGTATACAAAACAAGGAATATAATCATATATAACAAATTATTAACAAAAAATCAGCTGGATGAATTTAATAAAGTGATTCTTGATCTAGAGAATATTAAGGCTCAAATTGATAATAAGAATTAAACATTATTTGGTTATTGTTGTGCGTTTTTAGTAAGATGTATAATCATTTTAAGAAAAAAAAATTGATATAAAGAAGAAAAACTCTTGAAAAGATTTAGGTTGCTCAAAGTTCAAAAGAAATTGAAAAAAAAAAGTTTGATATTAAGATGTCAGTGCTTAAGATGGCCTTATTGCAAGCAAAAACAGGCGTTGACCAGAAATTAAAAAAAAAAAGTTAAAAAGAAGTCACAGTAAAATAAAAAAGTTGCATCACTTGTTAGATGTTACTACTTCACTCTAGAAAGAATTAAGAATACTATCATCTGAATCTGATAAATAAAATAAATTATTCAATTTTTGTTCAAAATATAATTGGCACGTGTATTTCATGTCTTATGGGACAAAATATATTATTTTACAAGAACTAGATAATTTTGTCCTTCTTCAACAATGAAACTCGTTCCATTAATCTTATGTAGCAGAATGATAATTTCAATTCTCAGTAAACTATTTGCACCACAACGATCAAGCACCTCCATTTGATCTCTCCTGCATAACATAAAATGCAAACAAAGAATAGGTCATCCAAATAAGAATGAAATGATTTGTAGCATTATCACATTGAATGTTCATAAAAAACTTAGTAAATGATCTGAATAAGAGCTGCATCTAGTATCTGTTGGCTTCTTTTGCAACTACCACCTTCCCTGCTGCATAAAACCAGTTCATATCAATCATCAAACAACACACAAAACTGAAACCAAAACCAGAAATAGTTCACAACATTACCAAACTGTACCACCATGATGCAGTGTGAATGAAATTACAGAGATATGACCAGTTGATGCTGACAGTACTCTTTTCATTCCTATGGTTTTGATCCTGAATGGTCCATATGATTCCAATCATCGGGGTCTGCTACCAAATCCTCCACTGGAACATCAATCTGGGAACAATCACCAATGATAACTTCATCCTTTGGATCCCCAGTGACCAAGTCTTCAATGAGCAAGTCCTCCAATATTGTGTCTCCAAAATAAGTCTGACTAGCTGTTATATCAGAATCTAGTGCAGACTCTTTGATTTCATGACCAAGTTCACTATCAAAAGCTGGTGAGAAAAAAGTGTTCATCTCAGGCTCCATAGTTGCCAAATCTTGTTGTTTTGAATAGTCCATCAATGTTACAGGATCATCTTGTTGCAGGTTCTCCAAACTCTGGCCAGCAATTAGTCTCCTTTTCCCATTGATTTCAGCATCCAAGATTTCTCTACTTTGGGGGGTCTTGTGGACTAATTGTTGCATGAAAGATGGATTTTTTAGTGCTTTGGCAAGGAATATGGTCATCTTTTGCTGTTTATTCTCTGTGGCTTGCAATCTGGTTTCCATGGCACTCAATTGGTCTCTTGAGTTCAGCTGTTGGTGCCTCAACCTCACAATTTCTGCCATCAGAATGTTCCTATCTCTTTTCAACCTCTCCAACTCACCTTCTAGTCCAAACTCTCCCACTTCAACACATGCTCCTCCTACTCCTCTTTCTTGCATGCTCTGTGACACTCTTCTTCTTCTCTTTATGCCCTTCAATAAGTGCCTCTGTCCTGCCAAAAATCCTTCATTTGCAAACTCCCATCTATCAGGATCAACTTTCCTAAAGCCCTGTGTTCATTTCCACACACAAAAAAGGGAAGAATTCAAAGATGAATCAAATAAGTCCAAGGAAGTTGATCAATGATCAATAATATCTCATTCAAAGTTTGCATGCACATCTTATTCGATGACAAGAGATTGAGGTGCCAGAATATGTTTGGCCAAATCACAAGTCAACAAGATATTTGTTTTCAAATGATCTGATTACTTAATTCTAGGATGGCTGGTAATTTGATCTTGAAGGCGCATTGTTTTCTTTTGCTAACCAATTTCAAAACATCAAAATCATTCAAATAGCCTTAAAAACTTTGAATTAGATATTATTGCATGCAAAATCTTATATTCAAACAGTCGGTTAAATAATGAAAAACCATTTAGATACTCTATGAACTGTGGTGAAAGATAGCCAAAACTTTAGAGATTGCTTAAGTAAATTTATTGTTACTTTCGTCCCATAACTATACTTTAAGATTTTTACACAAATAATAATGAATATACCACTCTTTGGAACAATTTTTGTGAAGTAACTTCTTAATATATGCATTTGTTTTCAAGTAATTATCTGATAACAAATTACAGATAAGAAGTTACTGCTGCAGTAAAATATAAGAACATCAATCCATTTGAACTTTTATTAGAGTCCAGTCATTTCATAATAGAGAATTTATTCCTGTAAAATATAATGGAAGAGGTTCAGGCGAAGGTAGGAGTGAGAGAACAGAGGCAACCGAAAAGGGGGGAAGAGGGGGGAGGAAGGGGGGACAGAGCAGCGACGAGAGCCGGAGCAAACAAGGGGAGCCAATGACAGGGACGGGGAGGGGACAGCACCAGAAAACAGGGAGTGGGAGGAGAGGGGGGAACAGCCCACCAGGGGGATGCGGAAAAGGGAACGCAAGGACAGAGTAGAAACATGGCCTCGGAAAGCGTCCAAAAAAAAACGGGGAGGAGCAAAAAAGAAAAAACAAGCAACAAGGCGCGACCAACACAAAGAGTTTGAACACTTAAACCAGCAAAAGAAGGAAAACTGTTCATGAACAAAATAATGATCTGAGCAACTCAAACACAAAACCAAACACAATAGAAACCAAAAAAGCAATCACAAACATCTAGTACTTAATACCTTACTAGTGTTGAGCTGGCGAATGAAGTGGAGAAATTGGCGTGCTTTGAAGGTAGAGAGTTAAAGCAGGAAGACACATGTGCTTGAAGCTAACGAGGGAAGGAAGTGTAGTAGAAAACTTGTGAGAATCCCACACAACAAAGCTATTGCAAGAAGTGCTCCATGACACAACAGAATCTGTGGAATGATCTTCGACCATGTCATAGATCTTTGTCAAAAAGGGTGGGGTACCCACTTCGTTCAACCCTTCCATTGGTTGTGGAGTAAAGCTCAAAGAAGAAGATGATGATGATGAATGAACCACCACCACCACCTGTCACTGTTTCTTCCTCCTTCACCACAAATTCCCTCCATGTTCATACACAAGGCAGATAAAGGAAAAATGATTGAAAGTGAGTTGTGAAAGTTGCGTTACACAAGCACAAGTACTAAACAATAGGCTAGTATGGTCAATGGTTGTTTTTTATGATTTTGTTGAAGTGAAGAATGTGTTTAACTTTGTGCCTGCATTTGGATAAGATGCATGCTGCAAAAGGGTGCCATGGAAGATATTGTAGGAAAGTTGAGTTATGAGCTTAGACTAGTTGGTGGGTTTGTGTGACGAAGATGCTAGAGAACAGAACATGTTCGGATTGTGCCTGGAAAATTCTAGAGAGGGATCATTAATGTTTTTTTTATATATATATAAGTATATAAGTTTTTATACTATAAGTAAATCAAAGTTTAGGATAAATATAATTATTGTAAAATTTGAAAATTTTATTATAAATAATTTCTTTCTGTTTATTTGTATTTGATAAATTTTATGCCTTTTCATAGACTTTCTGCACAAATTTAAGGTGGTTTATTACAATAACGTACGATGATAGGATAAAGGCCCTAAAGGAGAGGACAAAAGCTTTATACAAATTATTTTAAAATTAAAAAAAAATGATATTCATTACAACTGTAAACACATTTTATTTGAAATCTCTTACAGATCAAACTGTAATAATTTTTGTGATGGAGAGAGTAATTTATAATTTGTGTATGAATCTAATTTTATTCTAGAAAAAGAAAGTTATAATAAAGTAAAATTATTCCTCACTTGTCTATGATGTATTTTTTTCAGAATCTATCTATAATGAGCTTTGTGAGGGATAGAGATGGTGAGGGTAGATACGTCTTTTGTCTTAGTGGAGAGTTTGAATAATCAAGATGGGAGGTTCCAATAGTGGTGTCCAGAACACTAATCAATTAAAGCTTTTCTTTTTTTTTTAATTAAAGTGGGAGTAGTAGAACCAGGTTTCAAATTTTAAACCCCAATTATATGGGGGTGTGCAGGAGAAGAAAAGAAAAAAGTGGGGTGAGGTGCAGGATGAGGATGTAACCAGCCCGAAAATAACATCCAATGTCCAAACCCCAAATTTTGTTGGGGGATCCATCCTATTGACACGAAAACATTGTTTTATTATTTGACACAGAAATTTTCTAATGGTACGTGACAAGTTGACACAAAGAACTAAGCTGAAGAACAGTAAACTATGGTGGAGTAGATCGAGAAAACGATTTTTTATTTTGGGTTGCCATTAATTTTTCATGTGCAAAACTCAATTTTATATTCAGCACAAATATAATGCTTTTTTAAAATGAGGTAGCCTGTGAAGTAAGTAAAAATGTGTTCACACTTAGCTGTTGTTTCATTCAATCTGGTGATACAACTAAATTTATTAATTATTTTTAAATTAAACTTATTATAATTATATTCCTTAGAGATTAAACAATGATAATATATAAACACAAATATAGGAACATTCAAAAGTTCAAAGAAAATCTCCCACCATATAATAATTTTAGTACCTTCCATGATGTATGAACCTTTCACAACAAGAAAAGTATACCTTCTTTTGTAATTATTCCTTCTTCATCTAATATAATAAAGCAAGCCATGTGGAGGGTATACGTAAAAAATAACTAACACAATGGCGAAAAATAGATTAAATATTGCTCTCTCACATTATTTATGAATTGATAAGGGGAAATATTTACTGGCTATTTTGAAACTGTTGTTATTGGATTTGATTCTTGATTTATCTTTTAGGTAACATTTTTCTGATTTTGTTAGCCAATGCTATATTTTTCTATGGTGATCGAGTCCAAGGGTTACGTAAACTATGCAAAATTGTTGTGTCCAAATTTGGTTCTTCCATCAATGTTTGGGTTAATGAGCTTCTATTTTTAATGGAATTTTTGTGGTCTATAGTTTTTTTTTTTGAATTCATACTTGTCCATGAATGTCTTTTACTTTGAATAAATCTCAGATAATGTAATGTTTCATTCAATTTCACACCTTTCAAACTTTATTGTTTACATTATTTTATTGTGAAGTTTGTAATTTGTTCGTAGTATTTTAATGAATGTTATATTGACTTATAAATATCAAACTCTTAAAATATTTATCTTTTATCATTTTTCATTCTTTTGAAATTTATACACTAAAAAAAATAAATAGATAAAATTAATCCAAAATCATAAAATAGGTGTATCGATATTTTGACATATAAAACTTTTCTATTTTTTTCTATCATTCACTCTTGCAAATACAAAAGTTCACTTAATATGTTGTCAAATCAATGTAATATGTGTCAAAACATGGTTACTCTAAAAAATGAATTTATCCTTACTCTTAAAATTAATATGTTGAACGTTCTTATTTCTTTCTAATACGAAACTCACACTTAATTAAATTATTCTCATAAATTAAGTTAATAATAACTTAATTATTACATATGAATTCTGAGCATGAATTGAATTTAATAATAAGTGAAATTAATTATGTTAATAAATAATATTAATATGAAGAAAAAATGCAGAAGAGTGAGGTTGTGGAATAAGTTAAAGTTTGGTCAAAACTAAGAATCTGATGCGAGTGTTAGGAGCCCTTTGAAGAAGAGAGAAAGAGATGAGTGGTGAAGAATGGTGGATGAAAATCCTCCACTTCCACCCATTGTGTGACTCTCATAGTAAGCTCAACTAATTAAGGCATGGCATGTCCCTTTTCATGCTAACCAATTCCTTTGGTGCTTCTCACCTTTACCTTTTCTGTCCACCAAAAACACACAAATTTTCACTAAATTAATTCAATTCATTTATGGGTCCAATTCTCATCCCACAAAAAAATTAAATAATTCTCTTGAATTCAATGCTAATATGATCATGGATAGGTTTCAGAAACTTAAAGGGAAACACCACACATGTTCATTGTTTTCTGTAGTATATATGTATATCAATCATCATGAGGACAAACCAAAGTACAATTATGTTTTCTGTGTTTGTGGTAATAATAAAATAGGTAATTTTATTTACTTATATTTGTTTTCTTGTATTGCATACACTTACAATAATTTATAAAATGAGAATCTGAGAGTAAAGGGAAGTTTTTTTAGATAAGCAAATTAGCCTTCTAATCATAAAAGTTTAATTACCAATAATGAGAAAAATCTGGAGGCACATCCCAACTTGTTGTTTCTTCCTCTAAACACGTATAATTAAGAGGAAGGAATTATGAAAAATAATTGGGTTATATTTAAAAAGAATTGATTTGGTAGTGTTAATAATAGAAAGAGGCAATGAGAGAGATTGTGAGTAAAAAATAGAAAAGAAGCGACAGAGATATAGAAGATGAAGTCAGATTGTCCCCACCAATGACATGACAGGGTCACTTCAGCTTACGTCACCCATGTGTCTCACTCCCTATCAACCTTAGTCAACCACCTCAAACACAGCACACAACACACAAATCAATCTTCTTCCATCTCACTACGCATACTCCAACCTTTCCGCGGCGCCGACACCCCTACATTATAACTCCACCAGTACACCTCACTTCACTCCTCATAATTATTATATCAATTTAATATAAACTTCAACTTTCAACCTTATTTATCTCATTCAAGATAAACAACTTTACAATAATATATTCCGTCAATCACAATTCGGATGCTTGATAAATCATTAAGTCCTTTGGTTAGTTCCCCATTCAAAACGTTCAGTCGAAACCGACGAACGATGAATCATGAGTTTGGATGATCAATTAATCAGTCTAAGGGCGTATATTTTTTTTTAGAGTCAATGGATTTCAGGAGATTTAAGTGTGAATTAATTATTGTTTATTTGGTAGATTTGAAGGTAAATCAGAGTGAATTTGAAAGTAAAATTTATGAAAATTAGTGTAGGATTTGATTGATGTGATACATTTAAAAAATTGTTTAATTGATAGAAATGAAAGATTACCAAAATGTCCGTAGTTATTAATGTAATATAAATGAAAATTGTTAATATTATATTTAATTGTAAAAAAGTTTATAAAAGTCAAAAATTAACATCAATTATTAAAATTAATTTTAATATTGTACAAAAAATTTAGTTTAGTAAAATGAAATTATTTTTAATTGTACTATTTTTGTAATATTATTTATCATGAAGCAGTATAATTTTATTTGTTATCGAAGTGATATGATTTCATTTGTTATCAAAGTGAAATTGAATGTTTTTAAAGAAAGAAATAATTAAAGAAAGTTAGTATATTACATGAGATAAAAAAAGTCTTCTAAGTTTACGTATACATATTTCGTTATGATAAACAAATTACAAACAAATTAACATTATTTAATTTTGTATAAGTCTTTTTGATAGATAGAGTTCATAAAGATGAAAAAGATAAAGTAATTATTTATATTTAGATCGTAATTAGGTCAGATCATTAAAAAAATTCACACAAAAATTTAAAAATAAGAGTTGGAGCTAAAAAGATAAGTTAGACATTCATAACAAACCTTCATTATTATTTGTCTAAATTGATATGATTTTGGTATCAAAATATATTTTGCAGGTACCATCCGAACAATTTGAACATATGAGAAACCCTAATTGAATATAACGTAAACTTTAGACGACACATCAAAGATTAGACCATTGACATTGATCCAACATTCGAAACAAGTCTAAATTTTATTTTATAAGTCAATTTTATAAGATTAAATTAGACTTAAAAAATTATTTCTTAACACATACAAATATAAAGATTATAAATTTAGTGTTTAAGATTTTGAGTTACAATCTTGTATTGTAAATTTTGATAATATTCTTATGTTTTCTTACTTTTCTTTAGACATTTAATCATTTGAACATTAAAAGAAATTAAAAAAAATTTTGTTGATTAGGTTTATTATTAGCTACTATTGAACTATAAAAACATTATAAAAAAATATTTATGAGATTGAATCATACTAAATAAACTTCTTAACAATCGATAGATAAATTGAGTCGTGTGTGGATAAAAAATGTTGAAAGTATGGATAACATACTAATGCAACTCTTCCCTTTGCTCATTTCTTGATCACATTGTTTCAGTCAAGAATTGGTTTTCTCCTTCCCTACCACCACCACTAAGATGCACGAACGAATTAGGTTACCTAAATCATGGTAGTTAAGAGTTGAGAGGTAGACGATGAGGTAATAAAGAAAATGAGCATGAATTTGCGAAGCCAAGATTTAATAAAGAGTGTAGACCGTGAGGAATCTTAAATTAAGGTTCACGTGAGTTTAGAAAAGCAGAAGGGTAGAAAGTGAGTGGGTGATATGTGTGAAGTAGAATAAAGATGTGAATAAAATAATACGTAATAATAGTGCGTGCATGGTGATGAGGCTGACCCCGTGAGTGCCGCTTCCACACACCAAGGTCATGGAAATTTTACTCACCACTCTTATTCTATTAATATCCTTTATGCATTATTGAATCCTCTCTCACACAACGTCACTTATTCCCACTCCTTTCAGAATCCTCTCATCCAATCAACGTTAACCAATTCCTATAAACAACCAAATTTTCCTCACAACTTTCATAATTTACATGTAATCATCACATTCAAGATTTCTTTTTTCTCTCTTTAATTCTCATTTCATTTTTTAAATTAATTTTCTTTTTTAACAAATGTTCGATGTCCCTCATATTATAGGTTTGTGGTGGGGTGTTTGGGTTTTAAACCAAACTTCGGACTTTCCTAAATTTTCTGTTGTTGGAGTAAATGTTTTTGAAAAGTTGTGGTAAGATAAGCTAACCTAAACTCATAATTCTTTCTTATTAAGATATTGATTAAGTGTTTGAGATATTCTATAACAAACCTAGAGTAGATACAATAAATGGATTAGAGTGTTAGATCTTTAGATATATATTATTAAAATTATATATATACTACTATATGTATGGATCATATAAACTATGGTTGTACTAATTTATGTTGTTGTAATTGAATTCCATAAACAGATACATTGATAAAAAAATTGACAAAGAAATATGAATGACAACAAATTAAATTGAATACACTTAGTACTAATGCAAATAAATTTGATTTTTCTAAAAGATAGTAGTGTGAAGATATAAATTTTAAAAAATTAATCTTTTACAAGATGACGTCAATCTCATATAGGTCTAAATAAAAAAAAATTTAATATATTAAATCAAAATTTAAACAATTATTCTATGATTAATATCTTTTTTATTAATAATTTTATTTTGATCACTTAAATTTTTTAAAAATACTTAAATAAATTTATTAATAATTATTAGCAAGTATATGCATATTAGATACCAAAATACTTGTATTCGTCTCATCAATAAATCTGTAATTAAATACTCATATCTATCACTCACAAGTATATATTAAAAACATTTGTTAAATAAAAGTACATTACGATTTTTTTTCATAGATATTCACATGTTTTTTTTCAATTCTTATAAAGATAAACTTCATATAACCATTGAATGTAGTAGTTATATACTTGTTTATTATGTCCACTATTTAATAAGTAAGATGTTGTTAGAAGTTTCACATCGACTAGAAATAAAATTAATTTAAAATATATATGTGAGTGCAAACCTCAACTTAAAAGTCATGGGTTGAGTTAGACTTAAAATTAACATCTTAACATGATACTAGAGTCATGGGTTAGAGTCTGTCCTGATAAGATTTGTGTTTATTAGACACATCATTCCATCCGCTATTTGTCCTTTATCGAACCATCCATTAATGTCTTGTCTCACAAAAAAATGTATATACCTCGAATGAGGGAGATGTGTTGGAAGTCCTACATGACTAGAGATAAGACCAATTTAAAATATATGTGGTTGCAAACCTCATCTTACAAACCGATTTTGTGAGATTGAGTTAGCATATTGTTCAACTCGTTATCAAATTATTCATTAATATTTAGTCTCACATACGATATGTATATATTTCGATAAGAGATAAGGTAATTTAGAGTATATATGGACATATACTTCAGTGTGAGGGGGTGTTAAATCTCACATCGACTACATATAAAGTCAATTTAAAGTATATATACGTAAATATAAACTTTAAAAACTGCTTTGATGGAGTTAAATTAAACTTAAAGTTGACTTTATAACTATTATTTATAATTAAAGAAATTGAGTGTTATAATCCAATAGATTGAAACATGGATATTTGTATTGAGAAATAAATTATACTTAAAAAATAAATTTGTCTTAATTCAATGGGAAATTAAAAGTAAGTGATTTATATAGATATAATTAAAAAGTTAGTGTTAAACATAAGAAAAGCACGTCCGTGTTGGTTGTTATCTAAGGTAATTGGCAGCATATTCTGTTTTGTATATGTTGACCACATCTCCACTACCATTATTATGGTTGAATTCAGCAGCAGTAGATTTTAACCCTAAAGTTTCCAACTCAGGACAACAGTTTCCACGCATGCAAAAGTCAATTATTGAAGCATAGTTTAAGAAATGCATGTTGATACAATAGCACTACACCACACATGAGAGAGTATATTACGTGATTCCCTTCGACTCAACATGTAAACCCACGTTCTGAAAAAAAGCACTTATTTCATATAACCTAAAGATTGAATCATTATCGATCATTCCACTTTTCCTTCCAAGTTAAAACTTGAATTTCTCATTCTTCAAACATCTTCGTTCATTCCTGTTTCTTGAATCAAACAATTGACACTAGCAAAACATTAGACATTTGTTATAAGGTATAATGAATTAAAAAATATATAAGAATATAATAAGTAAAATAAATGAACTGAACTCAGGTATAATATGAAACAAAACATTTGCAAAAATAATTTATTTTTAAAGAAAAAGTGAAGATAATAAAGGTATTTTTTTAATATTGAAAAAGTGTGGGGAAAAAGAGTAAAAGGGTCCCATGAGAAGAGTGACGCAAGACATGGTCATGAGAAAGCATATGGCAGACACCACATTTACTTATTTAGCACCATCAACGGTCCACCTTCTCCCATCACTCTCTCCCTAACATTCATCACATCATGCTCACTGGGGACCACACCCCATAACCTCACCCTCACTACCACCCAAATCAAAACCCCATGCCACGTGCCATCCTCTCATTCGCTCCATTCCCCTACATGCTGCCCCACTGCAACACTCTGTCTCAAAACTAAAAGGTACGCCACGTGTCACTCCCGGAACGTCACCATGACGACCAAAGTCCTAACTCTCTCAATGATTATGTCACCTCTGTGGGCCTTCCCTTCCTCTCTCATCCACGTCATCAAAGCTTCTTTACAAATTAATTAACAAACTGAAAAATTAATATAGTGTTATTCAAGACATTCATATAATAACATTAATAATAATACAAAAGTAATAAACTTTGTTAGATAATTAAAATTCAGAGTTTTAAAAGTGATTTTGAGTTAAAAAGAGTAAATATAAAAGCACTTATCTAACTCCCTTTTTTACCAGTACTACTTTTTACTACACATAACTTTTGATTACGTCACAGTTCAATCTTACGGTTCCACGTCCAAGTCAAAGTGACGTCATCCTCCTTTTCACCCATGTGACCGTTCATAGCTATTTCACCGCCAAATTTCTCCTATTCCCCAACCCTTTCCTTCTTCCACGCCCCACGCACCTCACAGCGCGTGTAATTCTCTTTTTTCTTAAAAAAAGTTATCCTTCATTTATATATATATGAGCACATAAAATAGGAGAAAGGTTATGATTTCAATGTTTTGTTTTTCCTTTATGTAGTTACTTGTAGATGTAGCATTTTTCCAATTTGGATTTCTTTTCAACATCTTGGTATTTCATTTTCGAAAATTTCATTAATTTAAAAGGAAAGTTAATGATTGTGTTTGTTTTTTTACACTTCTGCTTTGTTTCATAACGAAGATAAAAATATTTGGGATGAGAATAAATTGGTGGAATAAAAATAATAATAAAATTGTTAGGATTAAAAACGTTTTTGATGAAGGGAAATGAAAAATAAACAGGGGTATAAAAACGCAATATGAATATAATAATTAAATGAAAAATAAAGTGTAAGCACTTAGATTATTTAACAAGTATACCTAAGTAAGTTAATGAAAATTAATTTAAATGTCTTGTTTTTAATATATTGAGAGAAGTTGTGATTTATTGAGTTTAAAAGTGAGTTAAATTGTTTACATTTTTAAATAATTTATAATGGCCAATATAATTAATCAGTTAATATAAAGTATATGAAGACTTTGTCAATGATTAAAGGAGTGACAATCCAATAGATTCACTTGAATATCACTTAATCCCCTCAAAAAAACTAAGTATAATATATGATTCAGTTCATTAACTTATTGAAGTTTGTTTCGTTCGACTCTTCAATTCCATAAACTATTAAGGACCAAATATATTATTCTCTACAAACATACGTTATTACTATTATTTCTACTATTCAGAATCTCTAAAAGAATTTTCTTTAATATTAAAGAAAATTACATAGCTAATATGGCTGTTTAAAATACGTATTTATTACTACTTTTATCAATAATACTGATGCCAGTGTAATTCTATAACATCAATTTTCATAATAAAAATATATATTTATAATTTAGACACTTCAATTTAATCTGTCAATTTGAGAATTAGTGAGCTTAAAGTTTTTTATTTTTTAAATTATGTATGTTAAATCACAGTAAACAAGATAGACCAAGACTTTCAATTTACCAACAGCTTGGTCAACTTAAAATTTTTAAACTCACATTTCTATTAATAACAAAATTTCTTAGAATATCACCTTTATAATATTTTCTTCTACCATTTAAATATATCATTCTGGTTTAATATTTCAAAACGTTCTTCTAGGATAAAATCATTGTAATAGTCTCACGTCAAATAATTTAAATACATAATTTTTCTTTTAATTTTTTTTAAAAAAGAATTAGTAACACAACTGAAATAAAAATTGAATTTCAAAACTAATAATATCTCATTTAGCACTGAAGAAAGTGCAATGAGTGGGGTTACAAAGAAGAAAAAACAAGTTTGGTATTTTTCTGGAAATTGGAATTTCACCAAAAAAATACATGAAGAAAAAAAAAGTCAAAATAAGAGAAGGGGACAAAGTGCTCTTATTATATGTTCCCATAAAATTCATGAAATCTCCTAATTAACAGAGGAAACAAAGAACAATCGTAATATAACTTATTATTATTATTAAAATTTAACAATTTTATAAATTTTTGTTCCTGTAAAATCAAGCAGTTTTGATTTTTGTTTTTTTATGAAATAAAAATGTATTAAAGATGGTTTTAATTTGATGAAAAAATAGGCAATGGAGAAAGCATGGAAGGAAGGAAACAAAGAGTGGAAGAGGGTAAGAGAAGAGAAATAGATGAAACCACAAAACAAAAATAAAAGAAAAAGAAAAAGAAACTAAAAAATAGTAGCACACAAGTATAGACAGTGATGTAAGCAACCACAAAGCAACTCTTCTTTCTTTATTTATTTATTTTTCTTTTTTTAATTAATTATTTTTATTCATTATTATTATAAATAAAAACTCCACCACTTCAACCTTTCATTTCAGTTCATTCACTCTCACTTCTCCTTTCACATTAAAATGCAAGGCCTCCGCCGCTGCTCAAACGACGTCGTACACCTCGACCTCACCACTCCCACGCCGGCCACAACCAACTCCTCCACCACCTCATCCTCCTCCTCGCTCTCCATCGACGTCGAGGAATCCACGGAGGCGCGTATCCAGCGGCTCATATCGGAGCACCCGGTGATCATCTTCACGCGCTCCTCCTGCTGCATGTGCCACGTCATGAAGAAGCTCCTCGCCACCATCGGAGTCAACCCCACCGTCATCGAATTGGATGACCACGAGATAGCGGCCCTCCCGGACGCCACCCGCACTCCCGCCGTCTTCATCGGCGGTGCCTCCGTCGGCGGCCTGGAGTCCCTCGTCGCCCTCCACGTCAGCGGCCACCTCGTCCCCAAACTTGTCCAAGTCGGCGCCCTCTGGGTATGACCACCACCCACCACCACCGTCAATAATATATTTTTCATAATCGCCACCATATATAAATATATAAAAATATATAAAAATTATTTACCTCCAGAAAAGAAGAAAAAAACTAATTGTATAATTTTTAGTCCTCCTCTCTATGTTAAATGAAATCTCTCTCAATTCACCAGTTTCTCTCTTCCTTCTCTGTTCTGTATTTCAATTCTCTAACTAAATGAGTGTTAACATTTCCTTATATTAACTACAACATGGAAAAGCGAGACTAATGTTTTTCTGGAATTTCCCAGACACATGCTCTTTCAGTTTGACTTGGCAGAAATTCAGGTTGGTTTTTGGAACCAATAGATAGAATCTCACCTTCTTAAATGTCTGTTGAACACTTGATTTTTTACTGTATGAATAGAAGAGAGATGAGTGTTTAGATGTGTATATTGTTGACAAGGTCGAACATGGTTGATGAAAAAGAATGAGTTTTGATCGATGGAGGAAAGTTTGATTATTTTGGTGTGGGAATAGATCTGCGAGTATGGATGTTGGGGTGGAGGGTACTTGCTATGTCTGAGTGACACGTGTTGGGAGAAAGCATCTGGTTGTGTGGTGAGAGCGACAAGGATGTGTGGTTGGGTTCAATGGTTGTTCTTCTTCTTCTTCTTCAACTACTTAGTGTGGTTCCATTATACATAATCACGGGTTCCTTTTTTCCTCAATTATTATCATGCAATCAGAGTCTATGGTTTTGTCACTTTTGCTTCATCCATCTTATTCATAACTCTTACCTAATCATTCTTTCCTTTTTTTTTTTCACACTACTTATCTTTTATTAATAAGAAATTAATTAATAACACACTACTTACCAAGAGTTTAGTCTTTTTGGTCCTTAGAGATCAACCTAAGCGGATTTTATGGCTATTTTTGACAATGATAGGGACCATCATGGCCATCCAAAAGAGGATTTTTTTAGGGTTCTTCTTGACTTGTTGTTCCCTTTGGGGTTAAACAGTTGGGGAAGAAAAGAAGTTTACAAAGTACTTTGGAAAAGATGATGATGATGATGAATGAACGAACGAAGAAGAAGGCAATGAAAAAGATAAACTTTTATCATGTTCTTTATCAGTAGACACAAGCACCTCCAATTATTGTGAAGAAAATATATATGTAGTTTAAATCCAATTATTGTGAAGAAAATATATATGTAGTTTAAATCCAACACGTCTCTTTTTTTTTTTTTTCATTTTTTCCTTCACACCCTTGTGAACATCATAGAATCAAATTCCATGTTGTGAGATAATATAAAACCCTTCTCTCACAGTTTCATGAGTTAATTATGCTAAACTAGAAGAATCATTTGCACAAAAAAGGAGATGGAATTGCAACCCCAATTTCTGCTTCATATTCTTCCTTCCTTCTTTGACTAGATTGGTATCAATTGCTTTTGCCCTTTTAATCTTTCGCAGAATTGATCTGTATCTATATGTATTATTGGTTTTTTTTTTTTTTTTTTTTTTACTTTTACCAAAGCCAGCAAGGTGGTGTAACCATAAACCTAATATAAAAAATTATCTTGGTTTTTCCTTGTGCAATGGAAGGTGTGAAAAAATAAAGAATAGTTTTTGTGGGGGACACTGTTGGAGATATTTTAATAATAATTGTTATTGAATCTAGAATTCAGAAAAGGTAAAAAGCCCAGATAGATTCAAAGCTAAAACAGGGTGCAAGGACAAACTTGAATTACTGTCATCATGCCAAGAGACAACAGCATTGATGGGTGGTGTGTGATGGCATGCATGACTACATCCTCATAAAACCTCAGCCAAGGTCTTAATTCAATAGTCTAAAGGGTATATCACCCACATGACCACCACCATCATCATCATAAGCAGCATCATGAGCAGCAGCAGGTATATATAAAGAATCAAAATATCAACTTTCAATTCAATGTTGCTCTTTGAAGGAAACCCTAAACCTCAAATAGAAACAAAATAAAAAAGTTTAGCACTATAAGTTGCAGTGTCATTGCTTTTCTCAAGTGTAGACAGTACTATAAACAAAAAGCACTTTAATTTAGTGCTGATTTATTGATAGGCAAAGCATCTTAGAAGCTGGAGTACAGCCAAGAAGCTTGGTGCTTTCTCTGTATTTGTTAATCATTTATGAGTCTGTTTGTTGCACCCAAAAGTACTACAAAAAAACTAATACTTTAAGGTAATTTTATTATTTAAAAGACATGATTTTATTTAATGACAGCAATAGCATTATCATGATGTTAACTGTATGGTTATTTTGCTGGATTTTTCACATCAAATAATAACAGTCTATTTCTTTTAGGTTTTTCACTTAAAAAATAATGATTGGCTTAATAAAGTCATTACATAATCTTTTAGACCAGACATTTATTTAGTAGGTTGTTTTTCAATTTTGTTTGGCTGATATATCACCCAATCTTCTCTGGTTCTCTAAAATTGTTTTGAAAAAGTGTAAAAGAATGTTATTCAAACCAAAATAATAGTAAGAATATTCTTATTTAAGACATTTTAGTGCTTTGCGATCGTAAGATTATAAATATGGAAATGAAAAGAAAAGAAAAAAAAAATTCAAAATTCAAATTATTTGTATGAAAATTGGGAAAAAAGGAATTTATTATAATTATTTTATTTGATTTTATAATTTATATATTATTGTTGTTATTTTATTCTTTTACTATATTTTAAAAGTATTTGAAAAAATATATATATCCTGTAATCTTATTTGATATATTTATGACTGTAATAGATTACTTATAATTCATAATTGATCATTTTAACTTGAAAATAAAAAAAGCCTCTATGTACAAAAATGATCTTTCCTGTTATGTAAATACACGATTACATTCTAATTTTTATCCTTTTATTTGATTTCTACACTTTACACTTATTTTCTTTTGAAATAAATTAGTGCATAACTTATCTTTGTACTCTCTTGTGTCTATGTTCTATCTTTTGTTGGTTTAAACCATCACAATCAATTGAAGTAAAACACATAATCAAACCAAAAAATGATTTATTATATGGTATTTTAAATATTTTGAAAATAATAAAGAAAAACCTTTCATAATTATCAATCATGTAATATTTACAGCAAATTATAATATTATTTTTAAAGTGAAAAAAAAAAACACAACAAGCAGCAAAATTGAGAATCATGATCCATTATAACATATTGTTGTATTGATACTTAGTATTTTTTACGAGGAAAATGATATCATTTCTCATTTCTCTCTTCTTGAAATTGTCTAATCTTAGACATTTATTTTAAAACAATCTATTATTTAACTTCTCTTTCAATACTCTCCTTTTCCCACATCACCTCTTTCATATGAAACAAACAAAGTGTTACAAATTATTTATCACTTAAACTAAGTTTAAGTTATGATCATTTAAAATAAAACACTCAACCAAACTTAATCTCAATCTTGTAGATATATTATTAATGTGAAATATTTGACTTTGGTTGTATTTAACTTTTTATGAGAGAATTGTTGATCAATTTAAATATAATTTATTTTTCAATCACATCTTTTAATCTAAAATTCTAAACTTAATATTTAAAAAAAAAACTAAACAAAGAATTATTAAGAAGTTTTATATGTTCATTTTAGGTTGGGATTTTATCTAAAAACAATCTATAATTAGCAATTAATCATTATATATTTGTAACATAAGTTTAAAGCAAATATTTTCTATCCCAATAAAACACAATAAGAAAGAGTCAAAGTAAATGTAATAAATTGTTATTCTTACTTAGTAAGTGATTCAATATTGGGTTGATTGAATTGTTGAATTGACATTAAAGTTATAGAAGGATCATGGATTAAAAAATTAGAGTGGGAAGGATCTTTAGGCATTTTGGGGAGTGAGGGAAGTCTTGGAGTGATAATTAGGGCATGACCAAGAAAGGGTTAAAATTCCACTTCCCAGCTAGTGGGACCTTATTAGCTTATTTCCTTTAGGTTGGGAAAAGACGGCATTGTGACGACATCAAAGACATGAAGCAGTGTATCTCCAACAATGGCCACAATCCAAAGAGAAAGGAAAGAAAAAGAGAAAACAAAAGAATGGTAGACTCAAGCTAGTGGAAGTTTCATTGTCCAAAGTTTAAGTCTTTCTTTAATGCAAAAACCAGACCTCTGACATGCATGCCATGCCATTCATTAACAACACCGCTGGGTCCCTTTTAAGAATCTTTCAACCTAACATCACACGAATCTCCAAAATTATTCTTTTTCTTCAACATTAACTCTTCTATGCTTTCTTCGTAAATGCGCAAATTAAATTAAACTGCACAATTATTGAGTACCAAAATTAACAATAATAGGATTTGTTAAGTTCATGTCAAAGAAAAAAAATTAGTTTAGGTTGTAACTTTAACACTTTTACATCAACGAATTGGAAACAAACTTGTATTGAGAGTAAAATTGTAATTATATAAATATATTATTCATATAGAAAATTGTTGTTGAAGAAAGAAAATATTAGTCCTAATTATAAGAGTTTGAAAGTTAAAAAGTATTTAGAACCTAGTTTTTAAAATAAACTTCAAACGTCTCAAGGAGGCACCAAAAGTAGCATACTCAAGTTAATGTATATTTTTTTATATATTGACTTATTCAGTTTGTTTTGTTTTCTTTGAAAACTTTCATCTTAGAGCAAACTTATAAAATCACTTTTGTCACTAAATAATCTTCTCTTAAGATTAAGTCTAATTTTGTTTTCTCGAGGGATGAATACTGTTTTTAAAACTTTTCGCAAATGATGTATGATAGTTTTTTAAATGATTGACAGACAAAAAATAAGTTCAGACGATGGTGTTTAAAATGAGTTTTAAGAGAACATTTGAAGAAGCAAAGCAATAAAACAAAATTTTTATGTTGGTTCACTCGACTTGATTACGTCCAGTTCTCTCTTAAGAACTCTTAACGAGTTTTACCTCTCCAAGTTTACAATGAGTATTCTTACCACTTTTGGTTCATCTAGTCAACCACTCCTGGTTTACAAGTATTCTAATCATTTCTGGTCTCAACCCTAGACAACATGTCTAGATTGTTTAATTCAATTGAGCTAAACATCAAGTGTTTTAATTCTCTTCAAGATTTTATGGCACAAGTAGTGTTATGAGTAAAGTATATATTGATAACTCTTAAAGAGAGAATAGAAACAATACAAAGTAATATGAGATATTGCTAAGGTTTCTCTCTTTTAGAAATATTTAGCTTAAGAAGTTGTATGAGCACAATAAACTTGTTTGAGTGCTCATAAGTTCACTATATTATCCTTCTTATCTTCTCTTCAATCTTTTGTCTATTTATAGTTTTTATTGAGAGATGATACTTAGATAGATAAATTGACTTCAGGAGAGTAGATAACCTTTAGGTGGGAAGTAATTTAGTCTACTTTGCAAAGGTACAGTGTTTTATCATAGCCTTTATCGAACCAGAGCTTATACGATGTGATAGAGCAGAAGGGTTAAAGGAAAACATTCCCAGAATGTTCTTTATTTCTCTGAACATCTTTTTCTTGGGTGCAATGATTTTGGTCATTTATTTCTACTCTAGTGATCTACACAAATATTAAGAACAAAGTATACAAGCATCGAAACACTTATTGTACGTACATTAAATATTTTGAACATTAATAAGCGTTACGTCGTATTGTGTGTTCAAAACATTTTATCATTTGTCATATCATTAATAAATGCATCGTTTGGTAAAACATACAACATATATGATCATCTGATGGTGTAAAACATTATATATGCTTTATCAAAACTGTTTGTAGCGTTTAATAATAATACATTAG